CTCTTGTGCCACAGAAAGACTTTCGGTCCGGTCGGAATAAGAATTGACATTTAACCGATGGTAGATAACCGGTTTAAGGGAAAACTGAAGGTGGCGAAGTCAAACAAAAGGGGTTGAACTAGTTTTTAAATTTTTGTTTTGTTTCAAGTGGGAGTTGGTTTGGTCGGAAAAGTCATAAGCGAAATCTTGTTCTTACACGTTTTTAACGACGTCACCAAGTTCGATAGCTTCCTGGTTTTCGTCACCTAAATCTACTCTTACAATCTTTTTACTGTCTGTAAATGGTAACAACACATGTTGAGAAGTTCGTATCATAACTTCTGTACGAGTGTTTCTAACTAAAATGAACCAAGGTTGGTACATTTAGTACATTGTTTTCACTTGTTAAAATGTCAAATCTCTCAAAATGGTGCTTCATGCTCTGCTTTTAGCTATGGAGTAGACAATGAAACAGAGCATTAGGCACTGGGAAAGGCAACATTGGATTTTGACAACACCATCATATATTCAAATAAACATTGTTCTCAAACGTAGGTTTCTTTCTTTCCCTATTAACTAAAAGGGTAAAGCTTTAAATACATAAACCAAAAGTAAACGAACACAAACAGAGAGATAGGCAAATTTATGTTCCTAACACTTAGAAGGCCTCTCGTAATTAGGAGGCAAAGAAGGGCAATTCTCGTTCATGTTTGAATATGGGTGAATGGTGTTATAACCAGGTAATTCCATCCTGTATTCACCCAGAATCTGACAGAACTTAAGCTTCCCTTCCTCTGTGTTACACCAACTCGGTAGCCGCGTCTGGTTTTCTTCAAATATCCTCAGAGTGTACGCATCTCGGATCTGAAAAGAGAGAGAAAAAACCCACTCTAGAGTCAGGAGTGATAAATGGAAAAAGAAGGTTAAGTCTTGATATTGAGAAAAAAAAAAGAAGAAGCTCACAGTAAATTCAGTGACTTGTATTTGGTCAGCAATAGGGCCAAAAACACCAGCGGCTTTGTACATCGCAAGGATGAAAGCAACGCAAGTTGTTGATTTCCCGTCGCTGTATACCCACTCATCTTGTTCAGGGATGGTGAGTAACTGATCAAACGACATTCCACGCCTTGCTGTTTCTTCAAGAATTCCATACAAATCCAGATCCTGTAAAACAGAAACTTCTTATAGCTACCCTGTATATCCTATTCACAAGAGCAGGAGACAAGGGTTTCGTTTATGATGAGTGTGTATAATATACCTCAGTACCGAGTCGTTTATTGAGTGCCTCGTTCCACATATTTGCGGCATATGCGGGTTGTACACGAGTCCACATAGACATGACAGAAATAACCTGAAATTCAAAGTCACTTGTTTGATTCCATGTTGATAAAGATAGCGGTACTGATGCATCTTTAAGAAAATCAGAGATTAAGAAGTACCAAGTGAGCATCAAGGGGAGGTGGGTAGTTATCGGCTAGAGTGTCGATCCAGCTGAATATCATGTTGTGATATCCGTACGGTTTGCCCAACATGCTCCGGGCATATTCCCACGCAGCAGTATTGTTGAACTTTTCTCGGATATCGGGATGTAAAGGAAGCAAAGCTATTTGTGGATTTGAATTATCCTTCAATGTTAGATCCCACCATTCATCCCAAGGAATCACAACAATGATTTCTTCACCCTGTGAAAAAACATCAGAAAAGAGGGAGTAAGTATCTCACTCTATCAAAAAACCTCAAATGCTATGAAACTACGCCAAACATATGCCTACCTTCTCGTTCTCATGTCCCGATTCACCAACCCAAAGATTCCCCGAATCATCCTTCAAACAAACAGCAGTATGACCAGCAAAAGCACCAGTCACCCATTTCTCTAACGTCTCAAAACCACCCCATCTACCTCGAATCTTTGAAACAGCCAAGAAATCGCCAGAATGCACGTCTTCTGGATTAATTGTGGACCGCCAAGGTTGAGGTCGTTTCTCAAACGTAGCACCCATATGTTTCGTCAAGAAAGCCAAGTTTGCACTCTGTCCCCAAGCAGTGTTGGAGAATAGAGGCAACACATCAATCAACGAAAGCAACGTCCCGAGCATTCCCGATGGCATAAGAAACACTGAAACTCCATGCTGCTTCACCTACTCATCGTAATACGCATAATAAACCATCACTAAAACAAATAGCACACAGCCTCTTAAACATTTCGAAGAAGAAAAACTAATCAAAACCTACATATTCCAATTCAGCTGTCTCTTCCCAAGAATCAAAGTTCAAAGTATGATCTCTAGCAGAGAAATAGTAGTCCCAAGTGATTCTATATGGCGTTGCAAAGACATATAAGTCCATGCAGGTCAAGCTATGTGCCTTAGATGTCTGCAAACAAAAAAAAAGTTCCCAGTTTTAGCAGCTACAGAAAGATTGTCCAGATTTTGAATCTATGATCTTTATTACCAAAAAAAGCATAAATTTTTGTACAAACCTTGAGATGGAGAAGGCCACCTCCAAGCCCAGCAACATCGCGATCGCTACCGGTGATCTCGAGACGAGCCTCGTTACCATGAAAGCAAGCACCTTTCCACTCAAGAGACGCATTATTAGGAGTAACGGAGCCAATAAAAGCCGGCAACAAATCCACGGCGTTGTGGAAACTGTTCAAAACCGGCCACGATACTTGACGAGGTAGCATCGGAAGAACATCGTCGACGCTAAAAGGGACCTTGAGGGATTGACCCAGGTCAACGTAAAAACCTAAACCTAGAAGAAGAAGACATGAGAGCAATAAGAGCTTCCGAGTCAGAGGAGGTGATGGGTTCTGAGACATCCGATCGGAATCGCTCCAATTAAGTGAATTTTTGAGATTTTTGTTTCAAGATTTTTGGGGATTTTGAGAAAGAGGGGTTTTTGATGTTGTCAAGGTTGAAGATGATCCATTGTGATTTTAACTCTTTTTTGTTGGTTTTCTCTCTGTCTCTGTTCTGATTTAGGAAAAATTGGACTTTGGGGAGATAAAGATGGTTTGGGATTGTGGGAGAGAAATAGGACTTAACTGGCGACGTTTCTGAGAAACAACTTTGATGATTCTTTGCTTTTGGTTCCAATTTCCACGTCGACATGACTTGGCTCGTCATAAACCGGATTTTACATTTACATTTTCAATTTCAATTTGGCTTGGTTCGGTATTCATGTTTTGAAATTGAAATTGTACTCATGTATGTACCCATCATTTTATTTGAACTTGCTTTTCTCCATTATTTCATTTGAAAATGACACATATCTATCTACTAAAAAAATTAGTGCAAAGTTTTACTAGAAATACTAGATGATGGGGTAAAATATTCACCTAAGAATTAAATGACTCACAATGATGATGATATGCACTTGATGGACCTATCCACATAAATAACTACAACTACTAACATCAAATGATGTAATATTTTTCTACATTCATTGTATACAGTAGTTAACAATCTTTCCCTGTGACAATGCTGGTCCATATACCGGTCTGGTCCCATCTACTTCCAAGTATTAACTAATGTAAATCCAAACCACAACACCGAACCGATAAGTCAATCACTAACTTTGGAGACCATTACATTGCGAAGATGAAGCAGTTTGAGTAGCAAGGGATAAACAAAGGACTCTCCTCCACCGCTATTGGTTGTCTGAATGGATTTAACCCAATCTGCATTTCAAGGATACATTACTCTATTTCATGAAGAATAATAGTATAAGCAAAAGTAAAGATATTCAATGCAAAAACATCATTGTACAACAAAGATTGATTGGAGAATTGGACATTAGTGTAGGTGTATCCACAGTGAGATTTGCAAGATATGAAAAAAGATGCATTATATGGGTATATGTGTCGACTCTCTATTCTCTTTCTACAGTTTTGAAGAGACATAAGACTGACTCATATATGCAGGAATCATATTAACCCTTCATCTTGGTACTTACTATCCCAACATTTTTTATCCCCATTTTTTTACTAGTTTGACATCAACCCACACAACAAAAACATAGATTTGTACAAGTTAGATGGCATAATAAACTTACAGGTAATGATAGAGATTGTCCCGTGATGGATTTAATACAACAAGCCGCAAGATGACAAGCTTCTTCACAGTAATCAGTGAATACAGCTGGGACTTTTTTCTCCTTTATCAGTTCCTGAATTTTTTTCACACCCACACATGAATGAATCAAAACTATGTGCTCTTTGTATATATGTATAAGCGCTAAAGGACGTTCGTGGGAGATATTGAATGTGATTATAAGTTACTTGAAGAAAACATACAATAGTTGGCAACCAGCTCGGATATGCTGCAATGCCGGCGTTTGGAGCAATCACTATGTGAGGAGGACGTGAATCCTGCACAAACAAAATGGTCAATCAGAAATCAAAACATTTTTTTTAGAATCCAGCAATCCAAAGCTCAAGGAACTGGATGTAACATTTGGGAACAGTGTAGTCGATTTCTGTTTCGGTCATAGACAAGTAGAAAGGTACCTTCGCTATGTCACTGTAACGATCATGGTATAACCCTCTATGGAGCTGTAACGTCACAACTGAAGACCGGGCTGATTGGTTACCGGGATTGGGAGTTTTGCTTAGAGAATTACATTCACATTCTTTTACCATGCAAGGGGAATACCTGCAAAGGGAGATCATCTCTCCATCCCTGTTCACAGAGCAAACAAATCAAATACATTCATTCACATTCTCTTAAGCATAAAGATCTTTTGTGAAAAGTGGAAAAAAACAAAAAACATATCTTGTGATGTCATTTACTTTACCCAACTAAAATATCATAAGTTTTATATAAAACAATCAAATAGACTGAGGAGATTGTGGAGTGCAGGACTCACATATGTTGTGGAACGTCAGGTCCAACCAGTTCTACACTAATGCACAGACCAGGGAAGAGCGCTTGCAGCTCAGCAAAGACAACAAGTTGGCCAAGCTCTCTCTGCGGCCCTTCAGAAGATCAAACTATCAGCAAATGAGACATCAGAGTTTTAACACCATAGTGGCTATGATGCATCTTTTGAAACATTTATATAATTTCCCATGTGCCAAATATTAAGGGACTACACTAAAATTAAGTAAGTGAATGAGATTAACAAAAACCAGAAACAAGATAGCAATCTCAAAGAGAAAACAGTTCCTAAAAAAGCAGAAGAGTTACAGAATGATACATACCAAGATAATGTATACGAAGCTCATCACTGATTTGGGGAGTCAAATTTCCCATCCCAATGGCTTGAATTGCATGATATATGGTAAGTGGCTGAAATAACAGCAAGCTCCAGAAGTCAATAGATAAAATTCTTAAGAACTCTCGTTATATTAGCAATCACATTAAGCACGTCAAAAGAAATATTACCCAGTGGAGAAGTAGAGCTACAGGAGAATCTAGAGGTATCTTTCTCCACTCGAAATAATCCGTCCAACTGCATAGCTGCCTTGACACTGGAGATAAAGGGCCTGTGTGATCCCGAATAAAAACTCCTTCGGAGAAACTCTTTCATTAAAATCATAAACAGAGAAGTGAAATGAAAGCATACCACGACATGGACAAGAAGAACTTGGTAGATGCCAACCGTCATTTTTAAAACTGAAGGAAAAAGATAGCAATTAGCTCACTTGACAATGGCTTCAAATCAACGCCGAAAAGAGAAGCGAAGAAACCTATCATAAGCCGAAAACCCGGCAGAGTCTCCACATTTGCATTCATACATCCACATTCCAACATGATGTAATTCCCTTCTGCTGAGGAAGGAGCACCTGCTTTCCTGCTTTTGACAAATCTGAGAAACAAAAAATCGAGCTGAATTTGCATGAACTGAAGACAACAGTTTCATGATCCATCTCATAGAAATTTATCATATACATGGACTGTAGATTCTTCTGTAAATGTAAATGGAAACTCGTTCAACAGATCAACACGACGCATTTGCTCTTCTAGTCTCTCACATTCTTCCTTGTGATAGCTCCAATGAGACGTCTGCAAACAAATCAAGATCCAAACTTTAACAAGGCCTCTATTTTACTACCTCAACACAATCACATAATTTTTTCATGCTTCTTATGTCATTCATTATATGATAAATTTGAACTAGTAATCAATCAATCTAACTAGCTACAAGCGATCAAATCAGAAATTCCCAGTTCCTAGATGCTCGAGGTGAGGTCAGAGACACAGAGCGAGTATGTAAACCGATTAGGACGATGAATAAGAAGGGTGAAAGAGTAAGCACGAAGAAAACCTGATGAGAGACGGAGCAATACGCCACGGCGGAGCATAGGCCACACCGCCGCGTCGGTGGGCCAACGCACGGCGATCCAAAGCCCCGAGCAGCACACTCCATCGGCCGCCGGCGAACAAATACAACCGCCGGTACTTTCCCGGGACGAAAAGTATATCAAAGAATCTCGTAGATATTAACTTTAGGCCCATTTTGTTCTAATCATAAAAGGCCCATTATTAGTTGGGCCAACAAAATTTGGACTAATGATCTATTTCTTATTTTCTTCTCTGCTACTTTCATATATATAGCAGCACGTTAAGTCCTCGGCCTATTTCCCCAATGAAGCAAAGTTTTAAATTTATTTATACCCGAATAAATTTTTTTGAAATATCTCAGGATACCTAAACGTTGATTTTATCGGTTTGAAACCTAAACTCCGATACCTGGATATAAACTTCGCGTATATCTGATGATATATGAAAGTATCGAGAGAGAAATAGATCATCAGTCCAAAAGATTTATTTGAATTTTTTGGGTCTAATTTTGTGTGGTTAACATAAATTTCAATATTCATTTTGCTCATTTAAGAGTTAGAGGAGCCGGTCAACTTCGTCATGCACTTGAAAATAATTTTTTAATATAGATTGATTCGTTCTCATGTTTGAGAAGGTCTGGAGAATTCTGTTTTTTGCGCAATTATAAAAATTGTGGCTTTTATTGATAGTTTTTCCCAATATAAAGACATGCTTCAGTAAAATGTTTTATGGTCATGAATTTAAAATATGACAATATCGAGAATGTATGAATTTAGCTAGAAGAAGTAAACTAAACTATTGAGTCGAAGGATCTAGCTTTGATTGGATTAAGAAACCAATCCATCTAATTGTATGTGTAAAAGAAAAAGTGAAAAACGCTTTTGACAATTCACAACTCAAAACTATATTTTTCATAGTATTTTTCGAAAGCCACTACAAAAAAAACTTTCATTTTCGCTAACGTTTCCAATAAAAAAATTTGTCGAGAAAGACTCAAAGAATTGAGCATCTAAACAAGGAAGCGAACCAAACCCCAACAGATCCTCTCCCAGTGATGATTAATGGAGCATCTTGTGGATTCTTTACTAGCAAACGGCACGAAGGGTC